CCTGAAGGTGAAATTGACTGTTTGACATTTGGAGGGATTCAAGGTAAGACCGTTTTCATTGAACCACAGGCTGATTTCTGATAAAAAGCCATTTAGTTTGGAGCAGTCACTTTGACACTTGACAGGCAAAGATACAGTCAGATCGTCAGCATATTTAACAAAATTAAACAAAATTAACAAAATTTTCTGACATATTGATCAGCACAGTTCATTTCAAGGAACAGTCTACTTATCTATAAACTGTTATTCAGAGCATCTCTCTCAGAAGTAGCTCTATTTATCTGCTTCGTTGATTTCTATGCATTTTTGTTGAATAAAACTGCACATTCCTGGGAAGCGATTCACTTTTTTGCTTACGGAGGCTGGTACACCTCAAAGTGCAGTACTGCCTCCGTTTATTTTTCCTTTCTTTATGCACGACCTACCGTATTCTTCTGAAGCTGATTTCATTAAATGTGCTGATGATCTTCCAGTTTTTGTCAAATTCGTTTTTGTATTGGATTTTTCTCAAATGAATAGTTTTTCAACTAAGGTAGGAGGCCTTCAAATAAATCCCTCTAAATGCAGACAGTTAATTTTTGTTTCACACGTGAACAAAACTTGTGTGGAATGATTCAGTCGAATACTTCCTATCTTAGCACCAATTTCTCTTGAAATCTTTGTTGATCGTTTCATATCTTGTTGACCTCCAAATATATATATTTCGTTTGACCTTTTACAATAGAGAAGTTAACATCTTCTGGTTTAAGTCAACCTCTGCCCATTCTTCCTTATTCTTTCTCCCCTCTCAAAAAGGACTGTGTCATATTACGTAGAACATTGAAGTCTATGAGCAGAGTTCGTGGTGTACCTTTGAGTAAACGAACTGACATTCTTGTTGATAGGCATTTTAATTCTTACAAGCAACTGGTTAGAATCATCTTGTCTGATACTGAACATCCTCTTCATTCACAACTTTCAGGCAGTAAGACAAGAAGAAATTTCATAAGAATTTATGCTTCTACAGCTATTAAATATAAAAATTCAACCATACCATATTTAGTACAGCTTTTGTGTGAACAGACGAATGTCTGAAAACCGCTTATAAACGTTTTAATCAGTAATTAAACGGCGAACTATAACCAGGATTATTATTATTACATTATTATTACATATGCTGTTCTTCTCCCATAAACTCTCAGTTTTTGTGACTTTTTTACTATCTTATGCATTTGTTTGCGTCGATGGCACAGCGGTAGGATGCTCGCCGACCACGCCTCATGTGGTCTGGGTTTCGATCCCCGGCCACAGACGCACTCCTTTACCTCGCTAAGCCAGTAATAAGACTAGTAAAGAGGGAAGGTTGGGAATGAGGCTAGCAACCCCATCCCGTAAAACTAAACACCACTGCTACCGAAACTTCAAGCCTCTAGCTTGAAGGTGCCCTATGTTCCACTGGGAACGTGGAGGAATAAAAATATAAAAAAATTTCAAAAAATGCATTTATTTACTTGAGAAAGAATATAAATTGTTGCAATACTTACAAAGGCTGAGAATTCCATTCTATCTCAAAGATTACTGCTAGAAATAAAGTGATGACTTTTATTAATATAGTATTATATCTAATAATTACATATTCATACACGAGTTCTGCATCATGAATCTGTTCTATTTTTGTTCAAATTTTCATTTTCAATTAATCAATAGGCAAACAAAGTTCAGACGTTGAGTTTTCACTAGTATGCACATAAAACCAGTTAATTTTCACAATTAGTGTAGTAATAAATAGTGAATTTATATTTAAAGGTAATATGCTTTTAACAAACAGTTGTGGGTTGTGGTAGCTGATGAAAGCAGTATGCGTCGGTGGCACAGAGGTTAGGATGCTCGCCGACCATGTACATGGTCCGGGTTTCGATCCCCTGCCGACGCACATCTGATATCAGTGGCTGGCCTGCAAATTTGGGCTACCGATATCCCATGCTGAAAATTCCATACTTGTACAAAAAATATAGTGTTGAATCGAGCTATAGTCAAAAAAACTTTAGCTGTTTAGTAATTTCTGTGTTGAGGTGATTTAACCGGGAAACTATATATATATATATCAACGTATTGCAACACCTGTAGTGCCACAAAAGTTGTCAAACATTGAGATAAGGGAATATTTTGCTTTCATTTCGAGAAGCTTGGTATTCCTATTATCACTCGACTACAATCTGCAGCTTACATTTTCCAAACAATTGGTTATTGATTCTGAAACTAAAAGACGAAGTACCTGGGCTAACCACTATTTCGCGCTTGTATAACCACTTATATCGGCTGTTGCACACTAGGAACTTAATCTTCCGTGCTTGCGAACACTTACCAGTGAGGCTAAATAAAGGTGTGGTGGAAACCATCAAAAGTTCTATACTGGATCATCTGGTTCAAATAGCACACAAAGCAAGAGAAGACAGTAAAGAGCGATTCAAAATAAGAGAGATAATAAACAGAAATGTGAGGCAAATAGAATAGTAATATGAAAGAACAATATAGTTTTATTGAATATTATAAATCATACAGAGTGAATGCATCTGCGCCAGCCACTGAGAACGATTTTGAGCTAGCCACATTACTAGTTGTCTCCAACTTTCATTGGTCCTTACCATCCCCAACCAGGAAGTCTACACCTCCTGATGCGGCAGGCTTAAACTAACTGTTGTGGATTTCATTGACTGATGAAACCATGTTTTTATTTGACCACCACTAGCTCTATTCCAACTTGATCCCATGTCAGACAACATTAACTGTCGAGGAAAGCAATGGCTAGGCATGCGTAACATATATACTAAGTATATCAATCGATATAACTTCACAACCTCGTCGATTGATTTTCCCTCCTTATCCCGTAGCACTCGACCGATGCCTAACCTCATTATTGCTCACCCTATTATACCACCTAAAATGGGAGATAGAACGCAGGCATCTGTGATCAAAGACAACTGGACAGCCTTTTCATGTCTTCCATTTGCAATAGCCACGTCTCACAGTCATCATCTGTCGGGGAGTGAATAAATTACTGAAGGCCTGTAGGCATTGAACACTGTAAACAACAGAGGCAATTGCAATTCGCTTAAAACAACATGAGTCTGTTTGTGCAAAAGAAACAGATCCAGCCACTACTGCTGATCTGGTCTGCTGTCAGACCTATAAATTCACAAATTCTTTATCATTTTTTCTAAATTTATCTGATATTCAGTTTAATATTACATTTTTATACATATATTATCCCTTACTGATACTTTCCACCAGTAATCTATCAATAGTGTTGATTCAATGTAATTTAAAACATTAATATAGAAAAATCCCCATTTAGACATTTAGAAAACAGAAAGATTGAGCGAAGGAATATTTACTTTTCAATTAGATCCTCATCTCTGGCTCCACTGTAATATATATATATAGCATTTTTACTACAATACACAACAATTTATCAATCAAGTGGCGATATGTTTGTTAACATCAGGCGTACAACTAGGCAGGTTCATCATCGTATTTCCGAACATCATCCAGTAGCATGGTTAAGCAAGGGACAAACAAGATCTATTCGTAGCTAGCTCTATTTTAGCACACCTTGTAGATAGTTAGCATAAGGTTGACGTTATTACAGCATTTAAAATTATTTATCACATTCCTACTAATCTTAATTTTGCTTTACGAGTTCGTCTTCTACATACAACTGAAGCAATAGGAATCCACCTGAAGAAGATAAACCTGTGTGTTCAGAAGAAATTTGTACAGCTACTTTCCTTACCTTGGCCATCGTTACATGAATGTATAAACCGGACTATTTCGCCCCCTCCCCCTAAACCTTTGAATATTATAAATTATAATTGTCCAAATTACTTTATTATTTTTTCTGACCACTTCATCTTTAATTACATATTATCATTGTCCAAATCGTTTTATATTCTTTGACAATCTGTTACATAATCAACTTGAGCACACGCTTATTCCTTAATTACTCTTCATTTTTCCAAAATTATGTATTACGCAATCCACGTGTTGCGATCATTTCTACCTTTTAATTGTGTGTATTAATTTTCTTCGTTAACCATCACCCCACTGTTTGACATGTTGATACTGAGTAATTATTGTTAACAAACATATCAGTGCCACTTGATTGGTAAATTGTTGTGTATTGCAAAAAAATGCTATACATGTATTAGAGTAGAGCCAGAGGTGAGGATCTAATTGAAAAGTAAATATTTCTTCGCTCAATCTTTCTGTTTTCTAAAACATTAATGTTGACAATAACAGTAATTCTCTAATTATTATGGTCACATAACGGTGAAACCTGAAGAGCAAAACCTTATCGAAAAGAATATTCCTTGTTCATTAATCAGTCACATAAAAAATTAATTTTTAAATTATGTCAGAGAAATGAATTGTCTTCTAATAGACATAGTTCATAGAATTGTCATATATAAATTAGTTACAGGATTTTATCATGATCTGACATTGGTTAGAGAACCATTGGAAAACCTGGGAGTACTGGACAGCTGTTTCGTCCTAGTTTGGGACTCTTCACCAGTACGCACCCACCTCCAGGGTTTGAACCAAAGACCTTCTGGTTACAAGGCGAGCTATCTGGTAGACCATCAAGCCATTGGGACTCGATCCAATGGCCAGCGCATGAATTCTAACTTCTGCCAATTCACGACACAGCGCGACCGCTAGCCAATGTCTTCAGCGAGTATTTGTCCTTACACCCAACCTGCTGCATGATAAAATCCTGTAACCAATCAATCAAATCCCTACAAACTAACACTTGAATACATAAATTATTCCGAAGCTGAAGCCTAACAGCATCATTTTATCGTTTAGCGTACTATGAAAATGAACTTATTCTCATTAGGATAACAAAAGTCGATTGAACAGAACTCAGTAATGTAAAACCGAATGAATGTACCAAATAACATACATAAATCACATAATAGTCAAAGCTTTAAAGAAACAAAAATCACTGATAGATCACTTACATGCATAATTTTATCTTCTTTGACAGTATATCTTATAGTCTTTTTCATAATTCATTATGAACAAATTTTTTAGTAGTATAGTTAATCTGTGTTTTTTACGCCGAATAATCAGCATGTCAGTCAATGTTTTAAACTGTAGGTTGGTTGATGCATGACTTGTGACGAAATTCATGTGGTAAATATCAGTCAGCCTTATATGTATATATATTTATATGTATAAGTAATTTAAATGTGTGCTTTTTTCATATTGCCGTCCAGTTTCTTCTACCTACATGTCCTGTGTGCGTGTGTGCGTGTGTGAGTGTTTGTGTTTGTGTGCGTCGTGATTACGTGGGCGAAGGAAGAGTGAGGAATTATCTGACAAATTCACTTTTAATTACTATTATTATTATTACTATTATTATCTTTATTATTATTAACAGTTGAAAATTCTTACTTCATAGTATGCAGTGAAAAATGAATGGCTACTGAATTTTTAATTCTGTTCATATTATAGATAAAACTTTATCATCTGATTGGTCACCAGATTTTTACGATTATCTGCTTTTTATGAGTAAAACTCTGATATGTAGACAGTACATTTATTAAGATACCATTTGGTGAGCTTGTTGTGTCTATTTTACAAATGAGTTGTAAAGGAATAACTGTGTTTTTGGAAAATGCCTTCTGAGCAATCTAATTTCAATACTGATACTTACTTGGATATTTCAGCTGACTTTTCTCTTTTCTCCTAGGCTTTTTTTTATTCCTTTACTTTCCCAGTGGAACATAAGGCACCTTCGAGCTAGAGGCTTGAAGTTTCGGTAGCAGTAGTTTTTATTTTTACGGGATGAGGTTGCCAGCCTCATGCCCAGCCTTCCGTCTCCATCAGTCTTATTACTGGTTTAGCGAGGCAAGGGAGTGCATCTGTGGCCGGGGATCGAACCCTATACCACATGAGGCATGGTCAGCGAGCATCCTACCTCTGTGCCACCTACGCACATCATTGTTGCAGCGTTTGTATAATATTTGTTGACTTAATGCTTATTATTTGTCGAAAACACCCTTGGAGTCATGAAGAAAATAAAAAACAGTTCTGCAAAGAATATTTTCTTTATCCACGAAATTATCTTCACAGGCTGTACAGCCGTGTTTATATTCACCAAAAATGCATAGTAGTCTGTTACTGAGTATTCGGGGTAGGGAATATAACTGATATAATTTCTTAGAAGTGGCTTCGAGAGTAAAATTAAAAATTAATAGGTATTTTTAAAACTCTTCAGTGACTGGTAGTCGAGCTAAAATAACGAATTGATAGAAGTCGGAATGCATCGGCCGTTGAGTCAGATTCCAAGGGCTTAATGGTCTACGAGCTCGCTTTGAACTGGAAATCGCTGAGTTCGAACCCTGACAGTGGGGATGTATGCTGTTGGGAGTATGAAACGGGGTTGAAATAGCTGTCCAGTACTGTCTAGTTTTCAGTGGTTCCCAACCTGTCATCAATCAAATCACATCCCTGCACATAAACACTTAAAAATCAGTTTCAGTCAGAATTAAGGATTGTGATCTAATGGAAATGTTTTGTTTTAAAGCGTAATTATTTCATATTGGCCCTAGAGTGGAACTAGAATGCGAATCAACGAGTTAGGTGTGAGTTTGATGGTGGTACAGAAGGTACCATGTGAAGAAGATATGCGGGATTATTGACAACCTGTAGGGGACTGCAGAAAACAGGTTGAAATACAGATGTTCTGCTGAAGCCTTATGTTCCACTCGGAACCTAAGGGAATAATAATATTATTGCAATAATATGTAGAGACAGCGGATACATTTCGTCAATATTCTGAAGTGGAAAGGATAAAAAATTAAGATAACGAAGACTCCATAAACCTTTAACTTATCTGAAGTGCACTGAAATAAAAAGTCAACTTGATTCAGACCCATAATGGAATTGATGCAGACTAGGCTTTTAAGAAATTGCATATACAAGGTGTAGGATACCATATGAAGGAATTATTACTACGCAGGAAATATGAAGCAGAATTCCACAATTCTGTTGAGACGATCACATTATATTATAGGAAGTGGAAAGTGAAAAAGCGATTTAGAGAAAGGGATTTTTATCGACAAAGTCATCTTCAAAGGCTGTACATTCATATTTCTATTTGACAGAAACTCACATCAGTCTAGCATTAAGTGATACAGATAGAAACAGAACTGACTTACATACCTACAAGTGGTTTCTAAATATAGAAGTTGAAAATAATTATTAGACGAAAATCAAGGTTATGGAGCGTCCACTTAATAACTGTTTTACATGGTGAGAAACAAACATTAGCTAGTAGTATGTACAAAAGGGACATATAAGAGTGATAATAGCAAATTACTAGCTAAATTTAAAAACAAACATGTAGCAAAGAGTTTGAGATCATGGTGAAATAAGAGGACTCCGCTTGGTGGCATGGGTTCATCAGGAGGTCAAGAAATGATCAAGTAATTGACTTGTATCACCCCTCATGATAACTACACTCTAAAGCTGCCCAAAGCCTCAGTTTTTCCACAGCAAATGGTCACTTGCCAACTGTGAAACTTAATCCGTGGGTGAAACCGAAAAAATGCTTCCGTCATCTGTCTGTGTGTCAGTGGCACAGCGGTTAGGATGCTCGCCAACCATGCACATGATCTGGGGTTCGATCCCCGGCCGACGCACACCTGATATCAATGGTCGGCCTGCGAAATTTGGGTTACCGATATCACATCCTGAAAACTCCATACTTGTACCAAAATACTGTGTAGAATAAAGCTTCAATCAAAAAAATAATAATAAAATTAAAGTTTTTTCAGAATGCTAGTCATGGTATCATCTTGAATTCAGCATTCATAAATAGTCCTTTTCTCGGCATCATTCAAATTCTTTCAACCTTCCGCTCTACTTTCATGTTTTTCTGGATGGATCTTGTAAGGTCTGTCTAGTTCACTGTCGGCTATTTTACTGGTACAAATCCCTTTCGTTCTTGAAAATGAAGAGTATATCAAATCCTTATGTCTTATCAATGTGTATTAATTATTCCATGTTCAATTCATGAAGACTGATCTCTGAAGAGAATCATCAGGTTTCTTTTTTCAACAAACCATCCACAAAACGAAATCCAGAGTTCATCTCGGATTCTTAGGTCAGCAAATTTGTCTTATATAATAACTAAGTTATTCAAGTTTTCTTAGTCTATATTAAAAACCAGTTTGGGAATCTTCTGAAATAATTCAGTAGCATAAAGAACAAGATTCGGAATTTCTACACAAATGTGAAGTCAGTTCTTCTATACGGATCAGAAACGTGCACTGCGTGTCATGAAAACCATTTCCAACAGCCTGCTGCAGACTTTTATCAACCGCTTCTACTGCGCTAGCACCATATTAAAGATTTAATGACCAGCCAGCTAGAAAGAATTAACGACAAGAAACTGTGGCTGAATGTGAAGAAACAAAGAGACAAGAGTCGATTGCTCAGCAAGTATGTGGAAGAAAATGGAGATGGGTTGGTGGCGGATAGGTTGAGGAGGCCATCGAATGATATCTGTGATACCAATATGAGAAGAGCATTCTTCGCAGAAATGCTAATAGTAGTATTTCCCAGTCGTCTATTGGTCTGCAGAAGGCTGAAGGACAAGATCTCACATCTTACTACTTCTGTCTCTATACATCAGTTCACCCATCCCAGTGCAGTTGGATGTACTGGTCGTTTGACGCGCATGCTGTCTAAAAGTTTTGAACGATAGTATCCGGCATGATTGCAGAAAGGTAGTAGTGGCTCCATAACAAATGCGGTAATCAAACACCTAATCAACACTAGTCATTCTAACTCAACAAGCTCCGCCTCCAAAACAATCTATAAAGTGAAGAATAACCTGCCAAAGGATATACGATTTCCTCTCCTGTGCATATCTGATGCTTTAGAACGTGACAAATAATGAACCTCGCCAGTATTAAGGCTATTTAGTAAAGATAGTCAAAGCAGCTGGTTAGCATTTCGTATCTTTAACCGACGATACCAATCACTTGACAGAGGAAGCTACATTGATTTGATGATATTAGATAGTTGGAGGCAATCGGCAGGAAGCCTAGGTTTCATGCTAGTTGACACTCACCAGCAAGGCGTATATGAAACCTTGAAGGAACTCATGTCTTCTTCTGAGATTCGAACCTGCGTCACCCAGTGCTGCAGTCAGAGACGTTACCACTGAGCTATTCGGGCTCGCGATTGACCTCCTGTAGGACTGTAGTGGGTATTTGAATTGGACACTAGTAACTAGTGTGACGTGTCTAGTCCTTTCTTTGGTGCAGACTGAATTCTATCAGTCAGGTTTTGCAATGTGGCCACCATTCTAGGTAGGAAGCTACAGTCAGAGTTTAAAACTGATTGTTTACCTCAAAAACACCTGATGTGATTGACTAAACACAACAATGGCGCTTTTACAGCACACGTTGTTTACAATTACTTTTAAAATAACGATTAGCCTAACGTAGTATATTGTAAAATGAGGTTATATTGTCTTTTTTCGTTTAGAAAACAGAAAGATTGAGATTTTTTTCGTTTATATACTTGTCACATTAATGGAGTCACAACTACGATGTTTACTCGAACTAACCTCGAAAACAATAATACTTTCTCAGCAAGTGTGAGCTTCTAACCAAACGAATGGTTTCAAACATGATTGCCTTGTAAATCTGTGCTGTATATATATTTGTTTTTCACAAAATAATCTCAGTTGTTAGATTTTCGCCCAAAACTAGAATCATTTAGAGAGATCACTGAAAACCAGGGAGCATTGGACAGCTATGTTGTTTTAGCCCAGCACTCTTCAGCGATTCGCATCCATGACTTCAATAGGAATCAAACCCGAGATCTTTAGGTTACGAGACAAGGCTGGTTGACTATTTACAGCCACTTTGGTTGGAATTCAGTGACCCTTAAGTTCTAACTTCGTCAATCCATGCTGCAGCAGTGCCCTCTCCAGTGCCTTCGATGGGCATCCAATTCACCCAGACATGGTCATGGCTTCCCATTGCAGCTTCAGGAAATCCATCCATTAACCATCAATGAGCTGTCTATTGATATTCAGATTATAGGATTTGTGCGGATTCTGGATTAACTTCAATTTTGTCCACTGATGACGAGTCCCGAGGTAGGACGAAACGGGTATCTAGTG